TGCTTGTTAGCACCCCTGGTCTGTGAGAGGTGAGGAAGGGTGAGAGGTGGGGGGAAGTTGCCTTCTCAGGTTTCTGGTTCTCACGTGGGTCTTAAGGCATCACGTCTCCAAAAGACTCTTAAAAAACAACTCTGTAAACCCCCCCCCACCACCACTGCAGTTGTAGATTGGAAGTTCTTACATGTCAGTGCATTAGAAGCTCTTGGGGCAAGTGCAGATTTCTAAGTCCCACTCAGTCTCACATACATTGGGAGTATCTGGAGGTAGGTTCAAGCATCTGCGTGTTGTTATGTATCTATCGAGTGCCAGGTGACAGATGCAGGAGTCTGAGGCCACGCTCCCAGCGTGCTGTCCTCTTCAGGAACAGCAAGCCCTGAGGTGAGGAGTCAGGGTGCCTCCCCCGCCCCCAGAGTGTCCTCCGAGCACTGGACCTTGGGGCCTAAAGCAAGTTACTTCACCTCTCGAGTCTCCACCTCTCATCCCCCAAATGGGGTAATGACAGAATGTGCCCCAGAAGGTTTTTTTTTTTTTTTGAGAATAATATTTAATCTTCATAAATTAACTGAGCACTTGGTTTAATCTAAAAGCTCATCAAGCAGGCTGGCCAGTGCCAGAGGTATTTTAAACCCTTGATAAAAATTGACTCAGCTTGTGCTTTGATGGGGGCAGGGGAACTGGGGAGTCACACTGTATTAAAGTGGCCCATTTCCCTTCTCAGTCCCTGCAAGTGTGGGAATTGTAGACAGGAGGAAATGGTATCATTTTTCAGTGCTAAAAAAAGACCTGCCACATACTCACTCAGTCCATGAGTCAGTTCATTTCACGTTTCCTTACAGTTGCTGTCAGGCACTTGCTGGAGGGCTGGGCTCAGGAGCCACAGGGCAGCCGGCCAGAGAGCCTGCAGTCTGGTGGGGCTGAGGTGTGACCGTTTCAAAGTCTCCCAGCAAGAGGTGAGCTAGGAAAGCGGCTCAGTGTTCCTGGCATTAGAGCTCAGCATTTACAGCTGAGCACCAGGCTCCCCTGATGGAGATAGGAGAGGATGGGAAGGATTAAGAGTGTGGGCTGGAGTCAGGCTGCCAAGGCTGGAAGCACAGCTCTGCCACTTCTTAGCTGAGTACTACTGGGTAAGACCTTGAGTCCCTTTGTGCCCATGTTCTCATCAGTAAAACGGGATCGTCAAAGCAGGTCCTCGAACTGCTGGGAGAACGGAAAGTGATAAGCCAAGTGCTATATAGAGGGCCAGGCACAGAGTGAAGGCCCAGAACTATCAATCCCATCAGTGTCATTTATTCAAAAACTAGTTAGAAGACATCTAGTTAGTGACTCATCCTTCCTGGCTAGGCAAACTGGACAAGTTGGAATCATCTCTTACGTGGCCACCAGGCTATATTTAGGGTTAGTGACGCCCCTACTCAAAGGTGGTATCATTGCCCTGCAAGCACCCGTGCCTGCCTTCCTGCCCCACAGCTGTTCTCGCACGCAGGTCTACTGGCCAGGAGCCTCAGCTCGCCCAGCTGTCACCAGAACACGTGCTCTAGCTGATTCTACACAGCAACTTCCAGATCTGGCTGTGCCCCTGTGACCTCCAGCATGTGGTCTGAGGTGGTGGGGCACAGTTCCCGAGAAACCCCACTGCAGGTAGGCAGTGGAGGGGAGGCCTGAAGGGTAGCATCCCCACTGAAGCCTTTAATGAGCTAGTCCATCTTCAGCTCAACTGAGTAGATTTCTACAGAGGGGAGATTTGACCACTTGTTAACAGTTTCTCAAGTCACATTTTCTGAATTTCAATTTTCTCCTTTTTGAATGGGGGTAACTGTCCCTTCCAATTCGTAACCACCTTCTCTGAGTCACATGGAAGCGAGACCTCTGGACCTAGGGAGTAATGCCTACAATTCTTCTGAAATAATAACAGTGCGAATCCCAACAGCAATTGTGAAGATTAAATGTGACAGTTTATAAATGTGTTTTATAACCTGCCCCTGGCACCCAAAGGACCCCACCCACCCCCTTAAGGCTCAGTGACCCTGATTCTTGTTCTTGTTGCTGGGGAGTAAGCAGGAAGGAAAGGGGTCTGTTCATTTGGCTTCTGTGCTCTGGTCTCCATCACCAAGAGGTGGACCTACGCTTCTGCCTAGTAGCAAACAAACACTTGCATTTAATTATGAAACAATTAAGTAGCCATCTTTTGATTAGCTATTTAGAAGTATTCTAAGGAGAATATTTTAAGCCACTCTGATTTTGTAGTTCACCTTGCCTAAATTGTAAATGATGCTAATTGCTTTCCAATTACCTTCCCTCTTGAGACTACAGAACCTTAGGGGAAGGGGTCTAGAAAGGCCAGTGCAGAGCGAATGATGATGTGTGGCTGTCCAAGTCTCCAGCCGTGCAAGCGCCCACTGTGTGGCCCACAGCCTGCCCCAGCAGGAGAAGCAGAGCACAGAGGCAGCCTAAGCAAATGGGACTAAGCAAACAGCAGGAACCATGAGTGGAGCTGTGACTTTCTGAGTTGGCTCTTTTCCCTAGGGTAGAGGTCACAGGCTGGAACACTGTGTGCTGGGCTAGCGGGTACAGCGCCCCATCACAACCCAGGTTGTCCTGCCAATCATTACCTCTCAGCCAGGAACATAAACATGAATGGTTTTGGTTTTTCACAAATGACACCCGTAGTGTTCTGATTAGCATGTTTCTTACTGGAATGGAGAAACTTTAATGACACCAACGTCTGATTCCAGAAATTTCCAGCCCAGGTGTGCCTGCATATTTGAAACTGTCGATCCTATGGGCAATTGGAAGGCTTCCCTCAGTACAAGATGGGAGTGGGAGGAGAGCAGAGGGTGGGCTGCTCTGCCAGTGCTCCCCACCTCCCTTGCAAACAACTAGCATGAGTGCCCACCTGTTGTTAGCCCTTCTGTTGGCCGTGCCTCTGACCAGAGGTCACTGTGCATTAGTGCCAACAGACCCTGCTCATCGGAGGATCATTTCCTAAACCACCCTCACCCCAGGCTTTAGTGATGGCTCTTCCCGGTTACAGCTGCATTTTGGGGCTGCCTCTAGGCAATGCTTGTTGCACAGCCCCAGACTCAGCAAGACTGGGAGGCAACTTCAACTCAAAGGGAAGGAGCCCAGAGTGTGGGCTTAGCACTCATGCCCAACCCCCACCCCCATGCCTTCTCCTGAAGGTGTCTACTTTCTGAGTACCCAGCAAGAAGTGGGCAGTTGGCACCCTGGAAGAAGCTCTTACAGAATCTGATGTGCTGACGTCCTGACCTTACATCGTCAGCTTCCAGAACTTCACCTTCTCCCCAGTAAGCTATACAGGAGCAGAGAAAGACAAGAGACAAGTATGTGTACTGTCACTCCAGTCAGTTGCTACCCTCCACCCTTCAGAGCTAAATGGATATCCACAGGGTCTTGGAAAGACTGGCACAGCCACACTACGAACCAGCACAACCACTCAGATAACACTGAGGTGCCTTCTGCCTGGGCTGACAGGGAACAAGCACTAAGATACACTGCTAAGAAAGAAGCAAGGTTCGAGCGGTGCATGGCGTGGTCCCATTTGCGTGGAAGCCAAAGAGCAGAAGCCAGAGGCCAGAGCTAGATTTGTGCAGAACTAGAGCATTCCTGGAGCACTACAGAATACCACTCGCTGTGGTCCCTTCTGGGGGTGGAGGGAATAGAGCATGGAGACCCTGTATTTTTCATGTGATCTCCTTCAGGGGCAAGTGTTTTGCATCTGTGGCACATACTGCTGCTCTCCACTGAATGAACTCATTCAAAAAAAGAAATGATAGGAAAATGTGTGTTAGTCCATTTGGGATACTGTAACAAATACCACAGACTAGGTGACTTAAGAACAATAGACATTATTTTTGCAGTTCTGGAAGCTGGCGATGTAAGGTCAGGATGTCAGCACATCAGACTCTGTAAGCGCCTCTTCCAGGGTGCCAACTACCTGCTTCTTGCTGGGCACTCAGACAGTGGACAGTTGAGAGGGAGCTCTCGGCCGCTTTCCAACCTCATTTATGAGGCTTTGGTCTGTATTGTAAGCTCCCAATGTTGACTTTTCTTTGAGGATGGAGGCAGCCATATCAAAGGGGCATCCTCTTCAAAGAGTTCAGTCAAGCACCTCACCAGGTGCACGGCCGGAGGCAGACCAGCTGCCAGTGATCCCCCCTCTGTTTTACAAACCCTGGCTAATTTAGGGAACTTGTCAGTCGGGACTAATTTGTCTTTTCCTTGTTCCTTCTTTTCTCTCTCTTCCCACACTTGAAGTTCCTACTTTCATAAGGTGAATGCACCAATAGTAAGCCCAGAAGACCTGGACCCTTCACCCTGGGCCACAATGAAAGCAGAACCCCACACTCTCTCTCTCCCTCTTCCCTGCACTGGTGGCCACACTGTGGTCCAGCTGTATTGTATAAGTTCAAGGTTTGTAAGTCATAACCTGTATTTTCTCAAAGTTTCTGGATGGTTATAGCTGAAGGGCATATTGCAGTCATAAGAAGAACTTAAGGGTGGGTCCAGTTGTATTGTCTTAAAAAGAATGAAAGCCTATGAGAAATTATCTGGCCCCAGGTGAGTGCCACTTGCATTATTTTAATAGGCTGACACTGACAAGAAACATGTCCCATGACCTAATCACCCCAAAGGTTCCTAATGCCTTCATTTTGGGACTTAGGTACAAACATACGAAGGGAGGGCGCACATCCAGACGAGAGCTGCTCACCCCTCATCCAGGCCATCCAACTCGAGCTTTTCACTTCCCTTCATCAACTCTGTCTGTGGTGTGGTTGGCGTTCTGCCTTATGTTTCAGGAGGTCAGCTAAGTGCCCCATTTCTAATCATGGGCAGAGTGCAGGGCCACTGAGAGAGGAGCCCTCTTTACACAGAGTTCCAGTGCCAAGCAGCCCCAGTGCAGCAGGGGGTAGATTCTGACTCTGGGGCCCTCTATTCCTCTTAAATCAAAAACCCCACGGTCTTTTTTTGTGCTCTTGCAGATCACAAAGGCGTCCAGGAAGAGGGTGACGGTGAACATGGCTTGCTCGGAGAACCACCAGATCCGCGTGTCCCAGCAGGACTTCCGTCTCTTTCGCACCCTCTTCCTGCTCATGGTCTCCTTCTTCATCATGTGGAGCCCCATCATCATCACCATCCTGCTCATCTTGATCCAGAACTTCAAGCAAGACCTGGTCATCTGGCCGTCCCTTTTCTTCTGGGTGGTGGCCTTCACGTTTGCCAACTCAGCCCTGAACCCCATCCTCTACAACATGTCACTCTTTAGGAATGAATGGAGGAGAATTTTTCACTGCTTCTCCTTGCCGGAAAAGGGAGCCATGTTTACAGACACGTCTGTCCGAAGAAATGATTTATCCGTAATTTCCAGCTAAGTAATTTTTCTCTCTAGGCAAGGTTTGTCACTGTCCATCAAACATGTATGTTTTCAAAGGGACTTCATCTCAGGACATTACGTCAGTATGCCCTGCTTTAAAGAAATGTAGCCTTTGCAACTATACATTGACAGTACCAGTAAATTAAGGGGTGATCATTCAGAATAACCCTTTTGTGTTTTAGAAGAGGATGTGCAATAGGTTTCTTTAAGTATGAACTTTTTCAGTGTTTGTTTATGATTGAACTTAATACATTTTTATTTATAACTGTTCAGCAATCAATCTCCTACATATAAAGCTACACTTTGCTGGTTTTAGAACTGATCTGAGATGCGGATTTCCCCTCCAAAGGGTCATGATTACTTTAGACCCCCACTCTGGACTTCAAGCCATCATAATCATTAATGTCAAGAACACTGGAGGAATTTCCAAGGAACAATTAAAGATGACTTCTTTTTCTCACATTTAAGAAATGTGGACCTTTTAGGAGAAGCAATGTCATGAGATCAGAGAAAAAGTGGGATGAGTCCAACATGTTTATGAGTGAAGCCCCAGACGCCCTTGAAGCACTGTGGTTGGTGCTGGGAATACAGCCGTGAACCAGACAGTCACAGCCCCTGCCCTCATGGAGCAAAAGACCTTCTAGTCAGGGAAGAAACACAAAATAGGAGTCAATAAATACTTTTGCTTCATAAAGAAGGTAGGGCAGTGGTAGCTATTTAGATGTGGCAGGGAGGGACCAAAGAAGATCTTTCTGATAAGTGATATTTCAGCCAAAAGATCAACCACAAGAAAGAACCAGCCATTTGAACCCAGGAATACAGAGTTTTAAAGACAAGCAGATGCTGGTGCAGAAGCTGGGTGCTTGTGAGATAGAAAGAAGATGGTGCAAGCAAATCGAGACAAATATGAACCAAGTTTCCTGGCCTTGAAGTTCTGTCCTTGGTGCTGGGGCAGATGGGTGCCCTGCTGGGAGTCATCAGTTGAAACCAGGAAAGACCCAGGGCTAGTGAAGCCCCACAGAAACCACCACAGGGGATTTATTCTGTATTCAGTGGACAGCTGCAAAAGGTTTGTGACTGCAGACAGATAGGGTCTGATGCATATCTTTAAATATTACCCAAAAAATGGAATTTGAGGTTGCCAGAATAAAAATGGAAACCAGTTAGGAGGTTGCTGGATTGAAAAAGAAGATGGGGACTACGGAGGTGGGTGGCATCACCAAAGGTTGGGAGAAATGCTCTTGGGAAGGTAATGTGAATGCTATTTATAGTTGGACAGGCCAGAGAGTAGAAGGGATGATGAGTAGTCAAGGGTGACTTCTAGATTTTTATCCTGACACTAATAAATGATGGGAAATTGGGGAGAAAAGAGGTGGGAGAGGCAAGAACTTCATTTGGGGCAGGTAAGTTTGAAATCTTAGTAATATCTAAATAGAAAACAGGCAATTGTTTGCAGAGATGTGGCGCTTGGGCTTGAAGCCAGTGTTGGTAGTCCTTAGTCTTTACAGGTTGACAGTTTTATGAAATATCCCTGAGAGAAAAGAGAGGAGAGAAGCAACAGAGCTAGAGAGAGCCCAGGGAATGCACTTGAAGGCTGGACCAGTGACTGGAAGGGGCAGCATCTCAGGGCTCACAGTAGGTGCTCAACAAATTTTGTTGCCAAGTAAAATCTGTGCCAGTAGGTGCTATTGCTCACGGAGTTCTTGAATGGCTTCTTCCAATAAGATTTATGGGATCCATTTGGATAATAAGATGCTAGGTATTGTTTGTTCATCTTTAGTTAATAGCTTTGGTAAATTAAAGCTGTATTTTGAAGTGGTATGTGGCTCTCTTAGGAGTCTCTGGAATTGTCCACCTGAAGCTGGAGAGCTGAGCTCACAGGCCATATGATGACAGGTGACACTTCTGTACCGAGTCTGTACTTGTCTCCTCCCTCTTTGGTGATGGAACAAAGCACATAGAAAGGAGGGGCCCAGGTGTCTCCTTTGGGTCCTTGATAGGCCAGCACCCAGCCAGAGATCTCCATGCATGAGAGAGTTGTAGCTCCCCCCTTCCCCACACATTTCGTAGATGCAAGCTTGGGATTGCCCAAATTACAGGGTTGCTAAGTGCTCTCACTGAATCCTCACTGCATCCTAACAGGGAGGCCCCGTTACCCCATATTTCACAAGAGTGAGGCTCAGAGAAGTCACATAACTAGTGCCAAGTCACACAGCTTTTATATATCTCAACTTGATTTTAATTTACAACCCAAACTTTCTAGTACGAAAGACTGACTGTTTCAAGAGGAGACCTGCAGCACCTGGGAGCTACTGGAAAATTGAAGGGGATGACTTTGCATATGATTATCCGACCATGTCCCCATGAGTGCTGACGATGCAAGACACTGGTGTTCTATCCTACTCCCAGCTACCCGACACCCCCTCCACCTGCCCATCTACCCTTTTTCTGCAAGTTCCAGGCAGGGGACACCTTGTCTTTCTCTAGACCTGGATTCCAGGTCCCCCAGGAAAACCCAGGACTTCTCCTCCTCAACATTTTGATCACATCTAGAAAAAGAAGCCAAGTGCGTGCCAGAAGCAATGAAGGACTGGGAGTATTCCTAGAACTCACCTAGACCATGCCTCCCAGGTGAGCTGCAGGTGAGCTCACTTCCTGCACACCTCACGGGCTAGCTGAGACCTGGGGCTGACTGGGTTAATAGGCAAACTCCTTTTTCAGGAGGCTGAGAAAAGCAAGTCATTGATAATGAGATCAGGCCAAAGGTCATAAAGAATAGGAGGAAAGAAAACTTCCCAGGACATAGAAGTGCGCCCTCTCTACCTGCAGAATTTCTCATTTTGACACACACTTGAATACAAAGACCCATATTATAGGAAACAGGTGAGTGTAATTTAATAAGTCAAAATCTGGAATCCTAAGCCTCAAATGATTCCTTAGAAAACTCTAGTAACTCTCAATAGACATTTTAGTACAAACAGGTCCACTTCTTTTCACATACATAAATTTTTATGTGTACAGAGGTTTTATGTTTGCTGAGGGAAGGGGAGGAGAAAGTAAATTAAGATAAATAAAATTGACAGCTGAGAGTGAGTGGGGAGTTTTCAAGTGAAACTTGACATCTTCAATGTTGCTACAAAAGGCTTTTTTCAGATCTGCTATTACAGTAACCTGAAATAGAGAAAAAAAAAACCATTCATGACAGAAGATGTACCCAATGTTTACTGTAGATAATGGATATCAGGATGGCCTTTGGCCCCAACTGCTCAACTCTCCTGAGGTTACAGCTTGATGTGGCTGTTAATTCATAAATAAACTATTGGCTGTTTCCAAAACCTGCTGGATTTTTCTGGAGGACATGGGGACTAAGAAAACAGAATCTAGTGTATGAAAGTACTCTTCCTCGTCTTATATTCTCAGCACTGCATTTTAGAGTCCATTGTAGAAAGTTGGAGGAGGGCCTCAGCCACTCTATAGTGTTCACCATGTCCTGGATCACGTCACCAGATGGTGCCACCAGGGGCTTCAGAGTCACACACTCAAACACAAAAACTGAAAAACCCTCAGTTTGCATCCACCCAATTATCCCCTGAAGATCTTGAGCAACTTCCAGAATCTTCCGTAGCCCCCAATTTTGTCTTTGCAGAATGTGGATATTAAAAGGATCTACATCATAAGATGTCCCTGAGCATTAAATGTGATAATGCAGGGCATCCCTGGTGGTTTGGGGTTAGTTTCATCACCATGGCCTGACTTTGATCCCCAGCCAGGGAGCTGACCCACATGGTGCAGCAGACCTCTCCTGTCTTGCCCGCTGCTCCCTCAGCAGTATATTTCAGTCAATCTGACTGTTCTGCTCCCCGCTCTGTCTCTGATGAATCTTCTCACACTCCCTACTCCCTGCACCCCTGGCCTACACCCCAGTTCTTGTATGCATAAATAAATAAACCCTTATAAAAGGGAAGCTTGATAATGTAGTTAAAGGGCCTCGCCTACAATGTGGCCCTGTTGGAACCGGATGGAGCTCTTCAATTAAGCTGTCTGGGGGTGGAACATCAACATCTCACCAATTCCTGTTTTTGGTCTCAGTTCATGTCTATTTCTTGTGGTATGGGTCTGCTGTTAGACGACCAACAAAAGAGTTCCTACATTTTAGCATTACCCTATTAGGACCTTGTAACCTACTTTCCCACAAGAATGACTGTCAATTCAAAATAGAATGCGCACTTACCTCCAGAATGTTCCTGTTTTTCTTATCAAGAAAAGGGTAATACTTATACAGAAATCCAATGACGGGAGGACCACAAAAAGAAATTGAGGAAAACCAGGTAGACAATCTAGTGCTTTGGTTCCATATTGGAAACAAGAACATTTGTTGAAATCCTTCTCCCCCTAATTTGCCATGGGGCTGTCTAGTGGTCTCAACGGCTGGCCAGCTTTTCCCGCGCCACTCCATCACCAAACATTAATTCAGTTAGCGCAGCCAAAGGCCAGGTCAGGGGGCCACAGACTGGGCTTCAGGGAGCAGGAAAAAAAAAAAAAAAAACAGCACGTGTCCCCTGCTCCTTCCCTTAATTAAAAGTGCGGGGTTTTGGAAACCGCCTCTGCATCTGCCTGGGTAACAGGAGAGAAAGGTCCCATCAAGAAGACCAAGACTCGAGGATGGCACCAGCCCTGCCCTTCCTCCGGCTGGCCCTCGCCCCGCCTCTCTGACCACTTGGCCCCGCGGCCCTGCCCCGGTCACTCACCTTTGTGAGGGATCAGCCTGTACTGCCTGGCCAGGCACAGCTCTTCCTGCCTCCGCCGCACGATTCTCTGTGCTTCAGGGGGCAGGCCATGGGGGTCACGGGAGAATATAAAGGAATAGCTGTCGGCACAGGTGCCGTCGAGGTTCTGGAGGCGGCAGGAGTACTGCACGGCGTAGGTGTCGTAGTCCGTGTCGATGATCCAGTGGTCGTCCACTGCAAGGCAGAGAGCCGAGCCAGTGCCTCCCCCTCCGCGGGCTGGGGTGTCAGGGAAACTCACCCGCGGCACGCGTGAGCCTTCTGCTAAGAAGCTGGGGCCAAAGGAAATTCTGACAACTTTTATAACATTGGGAAAACGACTAAGGCTCATGTTCTCCTTTACAGAGAAATCCTGGGGGCGGCCTCAGAACAGTGATCGCCACCGGCGATCTCAGTGTAGCATCCTTCCAAGAACAGAGTGGGCTCTGTTCACAGAACAGACCAGGCCTCTCCTCTGCCTTCTTAGCCATCTCCCTTTGCGGCTAGTGTCAGACTGCCGCGTTAGCCTCAACCTCAAGTGTGTCTCTTCTGCAGGGAAGACCGGTCTCGTTGGTCCCCAGTTATCTGGGAACCCACACCGCCCTTCTGCCTCAGCCCACCACTAGAGGGCGCCACTCTGTGATAGGGCTTAGGCCTATTTTCCCTTTAGTAACTCACTCCCCTCCCTGTGCCCCAAAAAGGAGTAGTTTTTCCACGGCTGCACCAGAGAACCCACCATCCAACATCAGAAGTTGTTTCTTTGTGCATGTACTTTATTTCCCTGGTAGAGGCAGAGTTGAGCTTTTGAAGAATTTAGATTCTGTTTATCCCTAATGGTAAATCATGAAGAATAAATGTTAATGATGGTGGTAAAGATATCAAGACAATTAGGTGGGAAGTAATGTTAATAGAATGTTTAGGAGAGATTTTCCACAGACAAACAGCAATGGTCAGGCTTATCCAAAAACCTTCAATTTGGAAAAAAAAATAACATATCTCTATTTAAGTTTCCTTGACTAGGCTTTCTGAGACTTAGTTATGTGCCAGTCACTCTGGAGACAATTTCATGCTTTCTCAGTTATTCCTCACATTGACCCAAAAGTGCACATTATCAGCCCCCAGTTTGCATGAGAAAAATATGGCACAGAGAAATGAAGTCACTCACCCAGCATCATAAGTAGCCTGGCAGACTTGGGGTTAAACCTGACCCCAGAGACCACTAGCCTCATTGACTCCAGAATATAAACAAATTGGGGCAGAGGCACAAGAAACAAAAGACCAAAGCCCTTTGCCTCCATCTCACGCCTAGGTCTCGGCTAAATAATTCTGCCCTGTGTTAGCTCCATGCTGCAGAGGTACCTGCACCCCAGCACTAAGGGCTGGTCTTGCTCCAGTCACCTGTGGGTATATCTGTCGACTCTGAGGACTCCTGTCATGCCAGTCTAGGAAGGGATTCAGCCTGCACCCAGGTCTAGGGTCTATGCAGAAGCTGTGACTGGAGCCCCTTCTTCAGCTCACTGCAGGCCTGCCAGGAAGGAGAGTGAGGGAACCCCTGCACCTCCCAGACTCACCCCTATGTGGGTGTCAGAGTCCAGGAGGAGAGCTCAGGCAGCACTGCTTGGCAGGAGGTCAGTGGGTGGGCCAGGAACACCCACATGCCGGCTCGGCTCGTCGTCGCGGGCGGCTGCTGAGTGATTTCCTCCCTGGCTGTGAGGCTTACTGTGTCCGTCACAGGAGCACGAGCAGCCAGCCCTCAGACCCAGAGCACTCTTTTGGAATACTGTCCAATTCATGATCCAGGCAGCTAGTAGCTTGGCTTATCTGCTCCTTAAATTGTTTTGTTGCCAGAATGTGAATTCTGACACAGGAACTAAGTAACTCTCTGAGCTTGGTTTTAGGAAAACCAACACCATTCTTGACTTTAAAAAGAAGGCCTAAGTTTGGTTTATCTCCATTCTCTTTTTGGCTAAAGAATTCAAGGGAGAATTTAAATCAAAACAATGTCAACTATGGTTGTCAGGAGGTGAATTGCCTAAGCTTGGCTAGAAAGAACCCAGTCCTCCAAGCTCCTCTATCCCAGAAGCTGGGGTGGTGCTGGACAAGCAGACTTGCTGGGGTGGTGCTGGACAGGTAGAGGGAGCTTTCTCTGGCAACCTGGTACCTTGGGGGCTCTGCTGTTCACTGCAGGGAGCCGCAACGTGCCCCTTCACCAACCTACACCTGTGTCCTCACCTAAGGAGATGAGATCAGGTGGGAAACTACCTGCAGTTCTCAGGTCTAACAGCCTAGACTAGCCAGCCAGCCTGTGGTATGATGCTATTTCTGTTTCATAAAATCCAACAGGCCCCAGCAAAGTGAATAGAGTCTAAAGCCTTGAAACCAAAATAAGCCAAAAATATCAAGACCAGTGGTTCTCCAGCTTCATTCTACAGAAAGGACCTACTAAAACATTCAGATTCTGGGGCCTCGCCCCCAGAATCAGGAGTTTCTGATTTAGTAATTCTGGGCTTGGGACCCCCAAACTGCATTTCTAATAAGCATCCCAGCTGATTTACATATTAAGTGGTGCAGAGAAGCTGACTTTGAGAAACAGATGCAGACAATTAGGTCTGCATTGTTAACCAGCCTGACAAGGGCCCCTTACCAGTAGAGTAAGAGAATTTATCTAGAAGATGGACAAAAGAGATGTTTTCCTGGGAGCTCAAAACAATGATAATCACTTGTTCACTGCTAAAATGAGAGATTTTATCTGACCCCGAATATAAAGCTATTATTTCATGACCAGGGGAATAACTACGCAGTAACAATATCACATCCTGACAGAGATGTCCTGTCTCACACCCTGTTCTTTTTTTTTTTCCAACACGGGGCGAACCCAGGAAAACCGAACCACGAGGGATGGGCTCAGCACGCACCACAGGCACCCAGGGTGGGCCCCTCAACCGCCTTTTTTTCCCCAACCTGCCACAAAGGGCAAGGGGAAAGGAGGTGGGGGGTCTGGAGGAAGAGACGCAGGGCCCCGGGAACCAGGGCCCTCCAAAACTCCCTATCAGACCCTGTCCTTAATGCTTTCTGCATGTTAACTCACTACGATATAACTTCATGAGGTAGGTACTATGAGCACCTCCTTTTGAAGATGAGGAGATTGAGGCACACAGAGAATAAGGAATTTGTCCAAGGCTCCCCCAGGTGACCAGCTGAGTTAGGATTCACATGCAGGCAGTCCAACTTAATCTTGCATGTTTAACCACCGTGTCATAACCACGACAGAATTGATCTGTATTGTAGTTATCTCCCTTTGTGTCTATAACAACCGCTTTCAAGATTTCAAAAAATATTCCCTCCAAAGGAAATGCTAGAATTTCAATTTACAAGAGGTAAGAGCTTTGGTAGGGGAGGAGGAGACGAGGCACAACCCTTCCTCCTCATTGGGGCCTCTCTCATCTTCCCTAAATGCAGAACCAACAGAATCCTGCCCCTTTAGGAGTGCATCTCAAAGTGCTATGGGCATTAGGTATTTGTGTTTGTACATAGTGTTAGAAATCTAGTTATTTTGTATTCCCTGAGTTCATTTTTGTAATCCATTTTAGAAAGGTAGATTAATGTGAAATGAATCACTTTAGAAAGTTTTTCTGTATTATTTGAAATGCTTTTTTATTATTTGTAAGGATAAAAGCTTTTCCCCCCTCTTCTAGAATAGCAGCTCCATCTATACAGTGAAATTAATACTGAAGATGCAATTTGATAAAGATGCAATCTTATCTAATACAACTGCAGAGGATTTCAAGAAGGCATGCTGCTTAAGATGGGCTACCTGAAAAGTTGTCTCTTCTTGGTTACTATGCTAAGAGAGTCCCCTGGAAAGGCCCCCTGGCCCTACCCCACAGGAGAGCACAAATACTGCTTTGTATTAGGAGTCCCTTCTGTTCAGAGCAACCTCCTCCCAGGCGGGTGTGGAAGGCCTGCTTTCTGACATCGACCCCCAAACTTGTTGCATGACTTTGGGCAACCAACATATTCCTTTTCCTTGGCTTCAGCATATTCATTTGCATACTGAGCCTACTTTGTAAGCGTTACCTGTCTGTTTTTAAGATACCACAATGTCCTCAGGCCTATATTATTTTCTAGTTAGCCAAACAAACAGACTCCAGATTTGAAATTTCAGAAAAATGGAAGAGGCAGGGGAGGAGGTAGGAAGACCGTGTAGATGTTGGGCTTCCAGGATCTGGCTGAGTTTAGATGTTTTTCTGAGAGTCCTCAATATCCTGCCTACTCCTCTCTCTCACAGTATAAGGTCTGGCACCGGGGAGATGGGGAAGACCTCACTGCCCCAGAACACTGTGCCTAGCTCAGCATCTCTGCTGCCATGGGCAGGCACCCAGGAGTCTAGCAACCCTGTGTACACGTTGCCTGTGGCCTTGGAGGGCAGTCTCCCAGCCTCTGCTGGGGTCCCAGTTACCCAAGCTGTCTCAGGGATTCAGCCCAAAGAAAAGGTGAAAAAGCAAAATCAGGCCGAAGGTGAGGCAGGCTGGAGCATCTTTTAAGCTTGAAAAGCATGGAGGAGGCTCTACACGCTACAGCAAGGCTGGACTGCAAAATGGCAGGAGGAGCTCACCTGCTGAGCACTCAGGTCCTTTGGGGCTTAGGTCAGGGTTTTGGACTGGGGGTAGGAGGTTCAGGGCTAGAGAGGAGGCGAACTAGCTGCTGACGCCCCTCTCATGTGCCTAAGCTCAGGCAGGGCAGAAGTTCCTGCCACCTACAAACCATTTTCCCCAAGGATGCCCCTGGAGAAGCAGCCCAGAACTTGGGCCAGGGATGTGCCCCATTTCCCAAGACCGTCTCACTGAACTGACTACTCACATCCTTTCTGGAGAAAGGAGGCAACGCCCCAGTACTTCATCTTGAATTTGGCAGGGTCGTCCGTGTCGGTGAAGGTGCCCACCATGTCTGCACACACATCCCAGCTACTGCAAAAGCCCAGGGGACCCTGAGTCAGGCGGGTGTAGGCTATCCCCCTCCGTCCCATCCAGGGTGCTCCCTTCCCTCCTCCTCCAGGGTTTGGCCTTCTAACCCCCCACCCCCACCCCGATCCCACTGACTTCAAAAGTCGGACTCGACCCTTGGCTGTGGCGCTCATCTGGCCTTTATGGTCCACGGAGAACTCGGTGATGATGTCGTCCTGCAGAAAGAGGCCCTCGGGGTCCTTCTTGGCCATGGCGTACCAGGTCCCTGAGAACTGGGAAAGAGAGCAGCTGCGTTCAGTGCCTGACAGTGCACGCGGGCACAGGGCAGCAGGCCGGGCCACGGTCATAGGGCTCGG